CCCGCCCCCGTTTTGATCCAAAGCAAGGAAAATTACTACCCAATTCCGCTTAGCACAGTTTGAATAACAACATAATTTGCACAGTGCCTCAAGAAGACCCAACCATCTATACATTAAATAAATTCGAACAAATACAAGTCCACTATGAGGACGTCGTGTTTGTAAATCTTAAGAAAATTAATCAACGTGTTCGAGAAAAATAAAGTTTTAACAATTTCAACCAAAATCGGGGAAAATGTAAAATTTTACTTCTTTTTAAGCATTCAACTACAGGGGCGTGATCAGCCCGTTCTGGTTTCAGCACAAGGTCGGTAAAAACACAAGACTCCCCTCAAATGGGTATAGTATCTTGAAACGGAGAATGTGGTATGCTGTACAGGCCTGATTTCAATGGGACGGGGCCACAACCCAAACAACAAGAGTAACCCTGATAATTAATAGTTAACCCAAGCCTGATATAGTTGCAAGAAATGTTTGGGGAACGCCTTATAAGTCAAAAATGTACAAATGAATGATTACTTCATTCCCCCACCCCCACATACACATGAGCCCTTCAATTATTACCTTGGGGGGGGGGGGGGGTGACAGACAGCGTGATGGCAAATGACCCACAAATAATTGAATAGTTGAAACTCAATGTTGAAGAGGACGTCCAAAGAATCGACCAAGGAACATGCCACAGGGTTATTCAAAAATTCCAGTTACGTATTGCAGTTCGTAGGCAAAGAAATTGTCTACACCTAGAGATTTACATAGCAAACATCTTCCTTGAGATTATTTAGCAATATCAATTTTGTATCCATTTATTCTTTAGTGTACAAATATTGACAATGTGAAATAGAACAATATGATTGAACTTTAAGATTCTACAAATTTTTGCATTTCAGTCAGTTTTCATTAAAAATTTTAAAATGTAATATTTTTCGAACAAATGCATAGATTTTTTTTCTTATTGACAAAAGCTACGTCAACGTAGTTGAATTCTATTCCGGATAGGTTTTATCAAAATTGGTTCTATGATAAGAGAGTTATTGCCGTTTTATGGGTTCTCTATTCTTAGACACCAGGTGTGACTTTGGCATTTAACGGGGAGGGATCTTTAAAAAAGCGACCAAAAATGTCATTACAGGGCGTGGTGGCCCTTGATATGGTATTGGGCCAAGAGGGGGGCGTTAAATTTATTATTATTGGTTCTTTGTAAAGGTCCAACATTCTTTTTCAATCTTATTTTTTCTTCATTAAAAGCTACTCCATGACTACGATGAACTGCGGAGTCCACATGCCATACCTGAAAATTGACTTGAGAAGATTGGTCATTTCAGTACGTGTCTCGTGCCACATGGTTGCGCAGGCGTAGATCTGGGGTACTGGGGTGTCCAAGCTGCGAGACACATAGTTCATCTCGTCCAAACCCTGGTCAAGAATTAAATGTACAGTAACAGCGTGTCAAACTAGGAATCGCCTTAAAGGTTAAGATCGATAAAACATGAGGCTGTCAGGGTTAACAGTAAAAATACAAGAAGCAACCTGTAAACGAATGGACTTGTTATAAAAGATTGCTTTATTCATGAAAAAGAAACTTAGTAGTTAATGCAACAGTCCCCAAAACAAACTTTTCCTCTCCATTATTAGCTGAAAACTTTTTTTAAAAACGAAGGGTATGGGGACCTGGTGGACAAAGCAAACTACAGCCAACCATTGTGAATGTACTCGACCTAGCGTGGACCCGGGGTCACCGTGAGTTTCTTGGTGAGGTTGCAACTGGTGGGGCACAAACAGGAAACAGTGATTTGTTATCGTCATAGAATTTTTTTTTAATGTTCACGTCACACTGCACCTTCACCAAACTAATTCTCATATCCTGCTGAGACAAAGAGTCGACATGCAGTATTAAAAAAACGGCACACCTGTAGCTGTGTGAAAAGCAGATAACTGATGTGTGAAAAGCTATTTTGTAATACACATCGAAGAATTAAATTCAAAATGTGTTCAATTAGAAATGTGTTTGATGGACTGCGTTTAAAATGTTATCAAATTTTGGTATTTCATCTGGATTTTTTGTTTTTGTTTTGCTTTTTGTTGCTTTTGTGTCTTTTTTCGAGGGGGAGGGGGGTCACAATTAATCTTAGAAAATGTTAGTGTCATTTTATTGGATTTGAAAAAAAAGACAATTGATTAAGAAGTAGTTAGCTTCCCTGTAGAATAATTTAAAACAGCGGGATAGTGTGCCGTCTTTGGGAACGACCTGATGGTATTTTCTTGTCATGGAAATTATTGCAGTCTTTTTAAAACAAAGAGATGGTGCCGCCTCGTTCCAACAATTCAGTGTAGGCTTTTGGAGGTCTTGAACATTTCGTGGCTTCGGGTATACATTTGCCACCCGCCTTTCATGAACATCATCAGAAATAAGTTCCACGGGACCCATATTATCTGGACTTAAACTTATCAAATACATTAATTTAATTCTTCTCTTTCTTCTCGATCGCATCAAACGTGAGGCCTGGTATCTATCACCGATCTTTTTACTTCTTCTTTAGGCCCGTACAGCTCCACCAGTTGGCTACGTTTCCTGTCGAAGGGCCATGTGTGTCCTGCACTGCTAGAGGCTGTGCTCCACAGTTTAGTCCGCTTCCCCACATTGACACTTCGGTGATTGTACTCGTTTAAAAATTAATTCGATGTTGTTCTCCTGCAGCTAAATCTAATTCCGTGTAAGCTGTGCGTTTTATGGGTTTGTTTTCATCAGGCTACAATGCTAGACCCTGCTACATTCGTTTGAAAAACGGAACAACACCATGCAGAAGGACAGTCTCCCTATAATTTCTGGCAGTTTGTTCTCCATTGCATCGACAACCCGGATTCTGGAAGACGACAGTACCAAGACAATCTGTAGCAACGTGGTGACATCAGAGGCTCCTCAAATCGATATTTGTCCACCAGTTGGATAATTCTAATAGATTTATTCAGGGCTTAACACCAAGTATGCTCGTTTACCTACATATATAAGGCTTTAAAAGAAAGGTGCTGATCAAAGTAGCAAAAAAGTAAATTTGCTATCCCCACAGGCACTCAAGCTTTGGAAGTCACCGAACTTTGGCAAGCATTTTCTCGCCAAATGTATTTCAGGGACAAAACACCCCTCCGCCTCCTTCAGCTGCAATGACAATCAAGACAAATTATTAAGAGTTAAGTTGAAACTAAAATTCCAAATGCTCAAAAATTGACTAGCGCTTGATTCCATTACATGTAGACCACCGTGGTGTTGCTTGCCTTCACCTGTCTTCGAGGCGTCACGCCAAGCAGCACTACGCTAAGCATTTCAAGGGTTTATTACCATTGGGTATATTACTTCCTCCTCCCCTCCCCACCCACCTCAGGAGACACCAGTTAGCAGCAGGTGTCCATCAGAGCCTGAATCACTGTGTGCGCAAACAAACGATCTGACCTCGCTATATCACTTGACACGTAGAAACCCTTTGATTGGATCGTTGGCAAGATTTCAATCAAGTGCAACCGATCTTGATCTATACCATCAAACACATTTGATTTTGATGAATTTAATTTGATATAATTAGACGAAAAATATTATATCGTTTTCTTCTTCAGGAGGAAAACATTGGCTGCCATCAAATGCATCAAACCAGGCCAAATAGAATTTTGAGGACATTTTCTGCTGTGTTCACTGGCTATACAGGTTTTTTTCTTTTGCTCTTTTAGTTTTTACTTGCTCTCTATCGCAGAAAGAAAAAAAACCCTGACATGAAAAAGAGAAAACTAGTCATGGTAATAGGTTTAGGAATATGAAAAAGAGGCAGAGAGTGACAGAGCAATAATACTGGCAGTAACATATCAACTTTATACGGGTGCTCATTGTGGGTGTGATCAGGTCGGGTCGATCACCCCACTCGTCGCCTGAAAACAAAAGCGTTTGTTTTTGAGGCAACGAGTCGGGCGAGATCGGCTTTTGCCACGATAACCGATTTGTGCCCTCAATCAGGCTAGCAAACCGCCCCGACCAGAATCGATCAACCAATGGCACCCCGTATTAGCAAAGATAGAAGCAGCAGCAAAAAACCCAGATATTACTTGAAAATGTTACCTTTTGCAAACTTTTCTCGTTCTGAGGTGTGCGACGTCGTAGCATCAGTGTCTGTTCTGTCAGGATAGAGCAGCGCATTGGTGTCACGAATAACCTGCAAAAAAACAAATTAATAAAAAGCCATCATGTACAAGTCTGCTGAACACGTTTCACAAAATACACAGTGTTAGTAAAGAGAATTGAGTCTATCTATCTATCTATCTATCTATCTATCTATCTATCTATCTATCTATCTATCTATCTATCTATCTATCTATCTATCTATCTATCTATCTATCTATCTCACTCTCTCTCTCCGTATATTTCTCTCTCTGGCACTTCAGAGCTATCTATCTATCTATCTATCTATTTATCTATCTATCTATCTATCTATCTATCTATCTATCTATCTATCTATCTATCTATCTATCTATCTATCTATCTATCTATCTATCTATCTATCTATCTATCTATCTATCTATCTATCTATCTATCTGTCTATCTATATGTTTATCTATCTATATATACATATATATATATATTATAGTATTATATATTATATATTATCTTATACATAATTATATATTTTTATATATAGTATATAGTCCGTATGTATGTCTGTTCATCTCGGTGTTTTTTTATTTATGACTTTATCTTCCACCTTACTGCCGTGGGTAAGCGAATGAAAGAGAAAGTAAATCAACGAATACTTTCACAATAACCAGCCTCTCTGCTTTATTGACTCATTAAGTTAATTACTCCTCTCTACGCTGACCTCCTCCCTCTCTTTGCTTCTCTCTCTCTTTCTGTCTGCCTGTCTTTCCGTCTCTGTGCCTGTCTCTTTCTCTGCTTATCTGTTTCTCTTTATATCTGCCCCCCCCTTTACGTCTCTCTCTCTCTCTCTCTCTCTCTCTCTCTCTCTCTCCAGGCGCTCATATGACCCTATACAGTTGCGAGCGCCGTAAAACCTTTACTAAAACAAACAAACAATCTCTCTCCCTCTTTCTCTCTCTGTCCATCTATCTATCTCTCCCCCTCCCTCCCATCCTCCCTCCCTTACTTGTCGATTTTCGCCATCCTCTCCGAGTTGGCCTGCCATATATGTCCTGCGATCAGACACTGCGACAGCCACACCCCCACCAGCAGCAACACATGATAGAACTGATCCTGTGCCCAGTCTTCTGGACACACCCACAGGTAGCAGGCCCCGGACACCTGAAGCAGGCCAAGCTTACATCGGAGCAAGACGACTCCAGCACTCACCGGTGTCACGAGCGTCATAGGGAGGGAGAAGGAGATCCGCTTGGTGGAGGAGGGAGTAGGTAAATGCGTTAGTAAACAATATAGCAGTGCCCTTACGACATACTTTTTAACATTCACGATTTTTGCGCTTTTCACTGCTATTCGAAGCGTGATAAAGTCATTCGAAAGTCGTATGAACTTTTAAAAAAATAAATAATGCATTTTCGTCCTTTTTTTCTCCTCAAACCGTTTAAAAATTCGAGTATTTTATATCTCAAATCATTGAAGCCAATACAGCTATACTTTATACTTGATGGTTATAAAACAGAGTGATAAGTGGTCCCAAGAAGTGTTATAAAACATGCGTCAATAAAGTATTCACTACTAATCAATATAATGAGGGTGAGTAGAAGTACGACAAAAGATATTATGCAACCGCTTAATGCTTAGTAATTGTTTTACTTTTGGTGTCGTTTTGTTTGTTTGTGTAGCTGTCTAGGAACGCCCTTTTTCACATGAATAGATCCATTCAAAAGTAGTGATCTGCATTTTGTAAACCAGACTCTACCGGCGTGGTGGGTAAAAATAAAACACACACTAGGAGAAGTAAGGCCAAACTTCGTATGAAGTAGAATCGTTTTTTTTCTCCATATATTATGTGTTTTTAAGCCCCCATCGACACAAGTTTGATCATTTTGAGGGCGCGAGCTTCCGACCCTGCATGTCAAGGCCAACCCGGGCGGAGAGGAGCGCAGCATCCAAGAACGAAGACCGAGATACCCGATAAAGATTCTCACCGGTTGGGAATCGAATGCGGGTTTTAAGTGTGCGACAGCGAAGTGCTGAACAACACCACAGGCACTGGTGCATAGTGTACTTATAAGATATGCCAAAATGATTAACTGATACATAATTATTACTGTGTCTATATAGAAAGAGAGTCGACGTGCGATGACAATTATATGACCACAGACATAAAGGGTGTAAATGAATATGCCTTTAAAACAAATACATTGTTTTAGAATATAACATAGAGTCATATTCTGATAAACTTATTCCAGGACTTTTCGCACAAAAGCCAGTATCTTAATAGGTCTTCATCCAATAGAATAGGAATTGGTTACTTTAACTCTCTTCAAGTTACGTCAGGCTCGTATTACATTTTTTAAAATCAGCATAGATCTCCAGCGTCTGTGTTGTGCGATTCACGGGTGAGGTGAATGTTGATCGCTCTCAGTCTGGGTTGGCTCTGAAAGACAGGGTCGGAGCCTGCCTCCTAAATATCTAAATGTTTTAAAGGGGGGGGGGTGGAAAACATTTTCATTTTTTAATTATAAATTCTTCACAAACCACAGTACTGTAGGTCCTATGATCTGGGAAAACTCATGTCGATACCCACAGAACCTCTTACGTTTTTTGTTTGTTTCGTTTTGTTCCTTGGTATGTTTGTTTGTTTGTTGTTGTTGTTTTCGTTGATATGCAGAAGAAATTGCAACGGATCGGTATCAAAAGACATTAACAGCTTCGATTTTAGTTCCTAATCACCTAATATTTGTTAATGGAATGATTAGCTTAATAATATTACAAGTTCGTGGTGCTCGTCACATTAGCCAGTCTTTTATGTGTTCAAACTCTTATTTATCTTTTGTTTTATTTTTCTTTCTTTTATATGAGCGAATATAACTCTATCTGTTGCATGCTTTTCTCCTCCTTGGGCATGTCTGGAAATGAGGGAAAGGAGAGACTTTAGACACCAGGGTCTATTTCACTGCTTTTGATATTCAGCTCCCAAGATGACACAATCTTCTTTTTTTTATTATCAGGGTCAAAGCAATGTTGGTCCTTGAACAACATAAATGAAGACAGCCTCTGCGTCATACTAAAAAGAAAACATGATTTCTTTAGTCCCAACTTTAAAGTCGATAATTAACTACAACCTCCTACTGAGTGTTTGTACGACAAGACAAGGACTGGTAAAACAGAATAATACATTTGTAACAACAAGTGGTGGGGTAACAACAGCACTGATGAATTGAGGGCAAAA